TCACCATTCCAAGTCTCCTCCCCCTGGCATCATCCAATCCTGACATCACTGACCCATCACCTGGTCCCACCTCCGCAGAGTCTCACCTCTCTTCCCGCTGCCCTTCAGCTCCTTTTTCTTGGTGAAGTTCTCCTCCTCAGTCCGGCGGTCCCGACCAGGACAGGCGCACACGCGGACCTCGAAGCAGCGCCGGCCCAGGAGGATGCCCCTGGAAGACATGGAGGTATCAGAGATGGAGACAGACTGATCTGTAATGCTGTTCAGTCAGTTCTGCGATTCACACAAACCTCCACCAGCTATGGCTGCAAGGAGGAGGAGCCAAGACACCTTTCCTGGGGAAAATGCTGCACATCACTCCCTCCAGTGCCCAGGCCTGAGCTCATCTTTTGGTCATTAGTACTGGAAGGAGCAGGAGCAGCATTTTCTCCAGGAAAGGTCTCGGGGGCTTGTTAACAGCTGGTCACATGCCTATCCCACGGGGCCTTCTGATTGGTTCCCTGATGTGGATACTCACTCCTTGGACTCCAGGGTGATGATGGTCATGATGGGTCTGCGGTTCATACCCCCCATGCAGGAACTGTTACACATGTAGTTCAGGAGGACGGCCGTACACTGGGACCCCACCTGGAATGCATAGCACACAAGAGGTCACCGCGCCTTCCGCACACCTCCCCTCCCCTCCCCCCACAACATGGCGCCTGCTCACCTGCGGCTCCTCGTAAGGCACGCACACGCTGTGACGCCCGTTCCCGTCCTCCGAGTATTGAGCCATTAAATTCCCTTCCACGCGGATCAGGTGACTTCGAGGGGCAAAGTCTGAGAGAGAACAGAAACATGGGGGTGAGGGAGTCACATGACCTGATCAACAAGGATGTTATTGGTGGAACTCAGGCCAAAGACATCACTTCCTGCCCAGAGGACACCTCTTCCTGTGAGGGTACAGGCAACCAATCACCTCCCTATGTCTAGTTTCAGGTCTGGACTGAGAGCTGGATGCTGATTGGCTGCAACAGGAAGACGCACTTTTCATACCTCAGTGAGCACGGCACCCAATATACGCGACAGAACGTCCCCGACTCACATAGGAGATGAGATGGAGCTCGTGAG